GGTTTGTTTTCAAACCATTACAGTGATTCTAGGAGAAATTCACTAGGAGGAGTCCAGGCTACCCATGGGAGGGGAACAGGATCTTTTCCTACTCTATTGGTGTGTTTTTGGGTCCCAGTGGCCATCACTGACATGAACCCCAGTTAGCAAGGAGAGACAAAACAGAAGCTGTTCTGGACTCCCTGCCCAGCAGGGATCTTGCTGGGGACGAGGCAATGGAAGCTGCTCAGTCTCACACACTACAGAGCACCTACCATGTCAAACTGAGCTCCACCTTACTCCCAAGCAGGCTGAACCTTGCCCTTCACACCACAAACTGAACCATAAAATTAATATTTTGCATAAAAAGGAAGAGATCAGGCCAATGTAAACCAGCCAAACCAAATGCAGTCAGTACAATGTTAATCTCCTGGAGCACTCAACAATGCCATTAGAAGCCTCCCAGATGACCACAACCTCGGCTTTGTATCTCTGCTCAGAGATGGTGCAAAATCAAAAAGTGTCTTGGTTTGGGTGAGATGGACCCTCAGGCTGGGATCTAGACTGAATAGAAGGGGGCAGCTGATGGGGTTTAATTAGGAGGGAACAAATGAGGTAGGCAGGGGAAACAGCAATCCCTGAATCCTGCAAAGTGCCTTGGAAGTTCTTCACAGCCCCCAGTTCTGAGGAAGGCAGGAAGTTTGATTCCCAAGCACCCGCCCAAACCACACATGAGAAATGGATACAAAACCTTCTTGCCCCTGAAACTCAGAATTAAACACCCAAGTGAAAAAAAGGAGGAAGAGGAGGTGGGAATTACCTTCATACTGAGCATGCCCAAAGTGAGCTGGAACAGCACCAGAGAGCCCTCGTAGAAGAAGAGATCCCAAATACGTAGCAGCAGCTTGATATGGACAACACTAGCAAAAGAGGTGAGGAACCAGTGCAAGGTGATCAAGGAGAGCTCTGTGAATAAACAGAAAAGAAAACAAACACGACAAGGGAAGTCAGCCAACCAGTGAAGATGGACTCTCCTAAGTGCTCTCCTCCCAGCTCAAAGATGACCATCCACTGCCTCCAGGGTCAGGAGGTTTGCTCCTAGATCTGATGCTCAACCTTTGTGAAACAAGAGGAGTAATTTTGGTCTGTGTGTCCCCCTGGCAAGAAAAGCTATGCTTTCTAGGGTACACTCTTACCAATGTCATGCTCCTGGAGCAGCTTGTCCAGGCGGGGCAGATACTGCACGATGAGCTGCCGCAGGACACGCTGGTCAGTCTGCACGCCCATCAGAGTGGTGCTGAAGTAGGAGGCAGGAACCAGTTCCTCAATGATAGCACACATCATCCAGAAGGCATCTTCCTCCTCCAAGAAAAGCAGCAGAGAGGCAGCCACCTGGGGTTTTAAAGGAAGAAGAACTGCATGTCCTAAGAGGAGCAGAACTCTTTCCCTGCTTCCTCACACAGAGAGATGACGAGTGACCGACACCTTCCCTCCTCCACTGCAGCTCTCCTGCAGTCCCCACTGAAGTGATTTCTCCTCAGTGTAATGCCTTCCCTTCCTTCATGGATGGATGGAAGTCTTCCACATCTTTGGACACGTGATGCTACTCTACTTCCCCTTTCCCAGGAATATTCCACACAGGAGGGATTCCCCTTTGGCTCATCTGGAGGCCACAGCGCCCGGCAGCGCTGCCCGGCCCCGCTCGCCCCGGCGTAGCCATGCCCACCAGGAGGACCCTGACAGCAGGTTACCATGCCAGTGCCTTGGCAGTAGCCAATCTCTGGGTAGAGCCAGGCGAGCCCCCGGAGGATCCTGCGCAGGCGTGGCACCCCGATGCTGTTCATGTTGGAGAAGCAGGCGTTGCTGGGCATCGTGCGGAGCAAGTCCTTCTCAATCTGTGCGACAGCAGGGACAAGCCAGGACAGGTCAGCCTGTGGCACCTGAGCAACTGCCTCCTGCTCTCTGAGCTTCCCCACGGCCTCCTGCCCCAGGGAACTCTGCTTCCCCACACTCCTGCCTAGGTCCTGAGGCACCAAGATGGCTCTGGCTCTGCTCAAGCTCCTGGGGCCAGTTTAACAGCCTTCACTGACAGGGGAAAATGCCAGTGCAGATGGTGACTTAGTGTCTCCCATGAAATACTTGCCTGAACTCTGCCCCTAGCTCACCACTGAGAACAGTAGGCACACTGGTTGGGAATGTATCTGCTTGGATTTCAAGCAAGGCTTCCCAACGAGCCTGTGCCAGAAAGAAACCAACAACCCGTCCACATCTGTGACAGGGGACTTGGAGGTAAACAGCTGACAGGTCTCTCTCCAGCAGTGCTGTTTCTCCTTCCAGCCCCCGTGAAGCTAACTTCATAGTGAGAGGTGGACATGTGCAGAGGTCAGCTTCTCTTGCTATGGCCTTGGCCTCAATCTTGATGATGTGCACAGACTTTGTATGTGAGGGAACAAAGACAGTCCCTGGAAGCAGCTGCCACTGCCTCAATAGAGGTGCATCTGTCAGCCTGTCACCCTCCACGCAGGGAAAGTAACAGGATGTTTGCTGAGATGCAATTCAGCACTGTTTCCTAGCCTGCAGGTAGCATGGGCCCAACCCCTTCCCAGCTGTCCTAGGGAGGAGGGGAGCTGCACAGTTGTTACTCCAACAACACAAAGGAGAAGCACGCCCAACAGGACTAAGCTTTAACAGGATTCAGACACACATGTCCTCTCAGCTGCCCCTGCTGCAGGGGTCAGGCAGACACCCCTTCCTCCTCAGGCAGCAAACCTTGCCCTACTCCTCCCTGCCCTGTGCCACTCAGCAGCAGGCAGTGTCTCCTACCTGCTTGGCAGCAATGGTTTCATCATTGGAGCTGTTCTTCACGATGTCCCGGTACGACATCTCCGAATTCCTCTTCTTCTGCAAGGCCCCCGACAGGCGCATCCACAGCTGGGGGTCAGTGTGAACACAGAGAGGAAGAGTCACTGCAGCAGCCACAGAGAGACATAACCTAGCACTCTATCAGCCCAGAGAAGGCAGTCATGCTCACTGTCCCTTCCTCCAGGCCAGGCCAGGCAGCACTCTCACCTGTGGCCTCATGCTGTGCGGGATGCCAGCCAGCACCAGGGAGCGCAGCTTGTCCGAGTGTGGTAGGGTGACTTCAATTTTGTCCCAGGTAAGGTCACCCACGTCGTGGTTGTGTGTGAACTCCAGATGAGCCTGCCACTTCAGCCTCTGCTGTGGCTCCTCTGTCAGTGGGACCCCCAGAAGCTTGCTGGAGTTTGGCTCAGCACCATCTGCCTCAGCAAAGGGAGGAGAATGAACCGGGGACAATGAGACAGGGAACAGGAGAGGGAACAAATGGAGGGCAGGGTGGGGCATAGGAAGGCTGAGGAATAGGAAAACCATCTGAGGAAAGCACATCAAAAACATTCATGTTTTCCCGTCAGAGCACAGAAACACAAAGATTGGGTTCTAACCATCTCCTCCACGGGCCAAATATTATGCTCATAAGCAAAAGGCACCGGGGGCCTCAGGAGCTAAGAAGCTGTCAGCAGGCTTCTAGCCCCTACTCAGTCATGATTTAGAGCAGAGTGTGGCTGGAATTAAACAAGATCCAGGCAGCAGTCATCCTGCTGGGTTTTGTAAGGATCTGTAAATCAGGCTGACAAAAGCATAGCGAGCCTCAGAGGTGGGAAGCAGAAGCTCTATGCTCATGCAAGTAATGAGGTGCAAAATGTTAACGTTGGGGATATTTAATCACCAAAGAAGCTTTAGTAAGGACACTTCCAGATTCACAATGAGAGAGCACCTTAACCTGAGGCTGGCTTTCTAAAACAGCACAAGCACAGGCTTGATGTAAGGCACTCTGCCCTTCATCATATAACACAGCCCAACAACACAGTCCAGATCTTTCTGCTGATTTTATAATGTTCAAGTCTATCAAATGTTCTGGCTGAACAGTGTCTCTGTGTCCTGTCCTCATCTCTGGGTCACTGCTTCAAAGAGGATCCTCCACGACTCAACGTGCCTCAGCCCCCCCCCACACAAACAACTTCTGCCCTTGCACTGTGTGACTTGAGCCCTGGAAATGTCCTCTCAGAGCACATAAAGCAGTTCCTATGTCCCCCACTCCTTTCTCTTCCTCTTTGTAAAGGCAGCTAGGTGGAGTTCCATGACCAGCAGCAACAGATCTCCACACCTCCTCCTATTTGGTCACCCTTCTCTCTTATCATGAAGAAAAACTAGGATCTGAGTTCTGCCCCTGCAGTCTGCCCTACATGTGGCCAAGCTGCTGGGTAGAACACACACTGCTGCCACTCACCTTGGCTCTGAGTTCTTCAACAGACAGCACATGTCTCTGTGCCTGCTCTCAGTGCTGCTGAACATGACAGAGACCCCACCGTGACCTGGGAAAGTTGCCCTTGCCCAGCACGCAGCTGCTGATGGAAATCACAGATCCCCAGAACCACGGAGTGGTTTGTCTTCGAAGAGACCTTACAGATCATCTAGTTCCAACCCCCTACGACGGGCAGGGACACCTCCCAGCTTCAGCAAGAAACTGTAACCTCCTCAAAACTCTTTTCTGCCTTACCCATAGCACAAGCATGAGGGGATGGAAATGACTTTGCTGCAAAGCTCAGCCTCCTCCTGTAAGGCCAGCAGGTCTAATGCCCTTCATTACAATGGCAGGATACAAAAGATGATGACAGGTTGGCAGATGAGATCCAGCACAGAATGGTGGCAAAATCACCCTCCCATTTTCAGGAGCATGGGAAGGGCTGGAGGCAGGACAGAATGGGAGAGGCAGGGATGGGACTGGCTTTACCTTCCTTATCAATGCGGAAACCAAACTCATCATAGTGGAACTCTAGCTGCTCCATGGACTCCTCTTTCTGGGAGACAGGAGGAAGAAGAACAGACACTTTCACCACTTTAGCACTGAGCAACTGAAACAGAGACATGTAGATATCGCTCCATCCCACCACGGTCTCCACTGTGCGCTCTGAGCAGCTAGACTCCTTCCCATTTTAGTTTCAATGCCTCCCACCACAGTCTCCAGCTGGGGAGGTGTTGCTTGCCAGTCCCATTTAGACTTCTCCATGGAAGCTGGGAAGCTCTGCCTTCACACTCGCTTCTCAGCAATCCTCCTTCCAGCAGGGCTTGGGCACAGCTTCATGTCAGGATCAGAACCTGCTACCTGGAGGGGCACACAACCCTCCTCATGGAGTGAGGGATCCACACACCCCTGCTCAAGTCCTCTTTTACCTCTGCTCACACACTGCAAACTCAGCTCTCTGCATTGCTCCATCTCCTGCCTGTTGCTTTCAGATTTTCTCCAAAAGACAGCAGGCAAAACTGGCATTTGCATCTATGAAGCAAACTCAAATTATAGGCCAAAGGAAATTAAGGTCCATGACCCAAATCTCAGCTTTCCCCATTTGTGCTCATGGTTGGCACTGGGGGATAGACTGGAGGCTACAACCATGTTTTTGTTAAGGAATGAGAACCTGCAGGTGCCTCCCCTTTCCTGCAAGCCCATCTGCCCCTCCTGTTGGGTCTCAGTCACTGCACCCAGGCAGCACCCACAAAGAATGCTTCTAGCATAGCTCCACTGTAGAGCTTTAATCTGCCTCACTGGGCTGAACTGCCTTCAGCAAACTCTGCAGGGAAGTTATGAAATTCCCTGGCTGCTTCCTTCCTTCCTGCTCTGCCCACCTGGTGCCAAGTCTTGAGGTTAGCATTTCCTGCCATGCACGAGCCATCCAGAGCAGCTCGATGGTGACAGAGACTCCCTGAGGATGTCAACACTTTTACAGTGGAGCAATAGTTACAAAACAGCAGGGCAATAATTCACACAAGTTTCTCTGTGCTCTGCAAGCTCTTGCAGGAGCCAGGATGCAGCAGCAAAACACAGGGAGGTTTAAGGAGTCCACAACCAGAAGAGCACATCTCTCCCTCCTTGTCCCTGTGGCTTTCAGAGACCACCAGACATCACCAGGATCCCCTGACCTCCGTGCAGAGGCAGAGAACACCCCCTCCCTGCCCCACACTGTACCTGGGTGTATTTTGCCAGGATGTCCTGAGGCCAAATGCTGGGAGTGAGGGCTGAGAAGGGACCCCCAGCAGAGGGAGTGTAATGGCCTAAACAGAGAGAGGTCAACATAGATCAGTGAGAACCTGGAAGGACACCCCTGGACGACACACACTCAATATACACTGTTCCTGCAAGAGGACTCACAGCAGTTTGTCACCACTGCCCCTCTGGACATTGAAACAGCTCCCACTTCACCAAGGAAGCAAGTGGTTTCAGATGGCTTTGTCCCTAATCATCAAGCAAAAGAAGCAGGAAGGCCAAATGTAGTTCCTTCTAAGAAAGGGAGCTTTAGGGAAGACAAATAGTTCCATGGCATGATGTGATCTTTCCTCTGATTGGCAAATCTGCACAGTCAGTGCCAAGCCAGAGGAACTATTACAGAAAAAGGTTACTCTGGAGAAGTAAAACCCTCCTACAGAATCACTCCAGCACCTGAAGCACTCCAGAGTTCCCTGTCACTTTGTCACCCAAGCACCAAAACGGGGGATCAGAGCCCTCAGGAAGATCTCCCCTTTGCTGCAGAGAGGCTGAGACACTGCTGCTGCTTCCTGCAGGGTTGTCAGAGCACACAGAGCTGCAGCAAGGAAAGTCTGCCTATCATAGAATCCTTTAGGTTGGAAGAGACCTTCAAGATCATCAAGTCCAACCATTAAGCCAACACTGAACAGCTTCCTTTGTAATAACTGCAGATGTCAAGTTTTGCAACTGAAGCAGGTGAGCAGGTCCCACTGCACACATCAGCAATTAAATGGTTTCTCTGGATATGAAGCATAGTCTTCCTCATGGTTATATGCCCTGAACTAGGCAGCTGGATAGGGAAGGAAGATGTACACAAAAATAAGGAGTGGGAGAGTGGGCCACTGTAAGAGGGATGTGCTGGAGGGGATCTAGTTTTAGTAAAGCTTGTATCTCAGTATCTCACAGTTGGCTCCAGTAGTAATTCTTCATCCTTCTGCCTGCCCTAGGGCTACCATCTTACAGCAAAAATAAGCAAGCCACCTACTTTGGGGCAAGTCTTGGGATGAGAACAGAATCGAGCAAATGGTATGAAAAATGAGGAAGGCAGACTACATTTCCACCTTCTTCTTCCTCTGTGTTCAAGGACTGAAGCAACCTCTGCAGGCCTCAGCATGGGGTAAAAGGAACTGAGTTCTCCCTGAGTGAAAAGGCAGGTGGGTCACAAAAAGTGGGGTGTTTTCTCCCCCAATCTGAGCAGACAGCACACTGATGTAAAGAATGGCTCTTGGAATCAGTCACCTTCTTTTACCAAGCTGCAGCTGAAGAAAGAACAAGCAGACAGACAAGCAGATACTGTGTCCATTTTTTTCTGCTCACCTGACATTGTGCTGAGAGGCTGTCAGCAGGTCCAGAAATGCTGTTATCAGAGGTCAGAGGTCACTATCCTATTATAAAAAGGAACAAAACCCCCACAGTTAGTGATGAGAGAATTCAACCAGTATCTAAGAACCCAGAGGGGGACAGAGCCCTCACACACAACCTTCCCACAGGAAAATTCAGTTCCTTAGTATCCGAGTTCTCCACAGGAAAATGAAATTCCAGAGACTGGAATTTCCTCTTGGTTTCATACCTACCCATCAGCTAGAGAGGACACACTGTCATTAACCAAATTCCTTGTGACAGTAACAGCATTGCTGATAGAAAAAAGTGTCAAAAATCACATCAACTTTCAAGACCTTCTCCATCCCATATTGTGAGTCCCATATTTCACAGCATGGTCCAGGCCTGGAAAAACTCTGCACCTCTGGGATGGGTTTTTCCAGCTTCCTTTTTCCACTAAAGCTATTTATGACTGCAAAGCACTAAAAGGAGGAAACCCAAGGATTCATCCAGCAGTCCCTCTCCAAGTTGTTTATGTTGCTTTTGCACCTCAGTGAGCACTTGCAGCCTGGAAGTGGCTTTTTACTGCATTCCAAGATAAGCAGCTGTAAGAGACGGCAGAAGCATAAAAAGCCTCTGTGTCTGAGAACACAAATGATAAGGCTTCTTATCATTTAAACATTTCTCTGCACGAGAAAGGTTGGCATGGATGAACAGACACTCTGATTTTCTGACACAACTCTCAAGGCAAAAAGAGAAAACCAAACAAGGAAAAGTTCTGTGTTTGTTTTTGAGAAGTAACACTGTCCACACAATGGCCAAGTGCTTACTGCCAGTTCAGTAAACTTTTTTCTGCCCTTCCCATGACTCCAGCCCCACTTGCTCTCTTCTCTCAGCACCAACTCTTCCCTCAGCAGCTGTAAGACATCGCAAGAACTACACAATGAGGACCTGCACCCCCATTTTACATGGGAATACACACAGCATGCACCCCAGACTGCTAAATCTGCTGACAAAACTTAGTCCCCTTCCAACATCCCTGTGAATGTATTCTGATGCCTTTTTTTTTTCCCAAGCCCTATGACCAGAGCCTCTCTGTTCCCGAGTCTGCACTATGTCCTTCTCTCTGCCTCCTCTCAGCCCAGCTACCCCTGTTTCCAACGAGTTTGACCTAGAAAGCAATTCCTCTTTCAGCCACGTGGTACTTCTGCCATGCTGCTCATTACCTGTGCTCCGGATCCCTGCTCAGGGCCTCAAGCAGGGGAGCAGGGATCCCCCAGGCTGTGACTGACCCTTGTGGCATGAACAGTCACTCCTGCACCAACCTGCCATGGAAGAGCTGGGCCAGGGAGTTAGGCACATGAGTGAGAAAAGAAACCATAACAAGGGAACTTACTGCAGTGCTCAGGAAGCCAGGCAGGAGAACCCTGAGGCCAAAAGTCCCTCCTGGTCCCAGGACAGGTGTAGCAGAGGGGAACACCTTCCCTGCCCATGTCACCCCACGCTGGCCTCTGCCTTGCTGGAGGTGACTCCTCTGCCTGCCCTCCTGCCCCTGCCTTTGGAGCACTGAACTTGGTGGGCAGGTTTTTCCTGCCCTGGGTTCCTATAGAAACCTTCCTGCAAGCACCCAGCTGGGACCAGGCCCAGCCAGGGCATGAGAGGCTCACGCTGCTGCTGGCACTGGGGGTGTGGAGGGCAGAGTGAGGAGTGGGAGGCACACCAAGAGGAGGCTCCTGCTGTGGCACAAGGAGGTGGTGGGCTGGGGACTGCCCACGGAGCCAGATGCCTCCAAGAGAAGCTGCTGAGGCCACTACGCCAGCCCTGTAGGTCTTCATCACCTTGCTTTGTTCCTCCTCCTGCTCTGCCTCCAGTAAAGCATCACAGGAACTGGGAGGAAGGTTCTCTGAGACAGCCAGGCACCTCCCAGTGCAAGCCAGGAGGATGAGGATATCTGGCACATGGGATTGACACAGTAAATTCTTCCCTTCAACTGAGGGATATAAACCTAAAGCAGCTCTCAAACTCTGCCAGCCAGGAGTCAGCAAAATAATAAAGGGGCTCCCAAGAAGCCTGTGAAGTTGCACACATGAAATTGCTGCAGCTAGCTTAGCTGTGTAATTGTGTAGCACCCACTTCTGAAAACAAGCAAGAGTAAAGGATACAAAGGAAAAAACACATGAGAGCCCACCAATATTAATGGCCACTCCCAAATCCTCATAGCCTCTAAAACCAGTTTTCAGCCATGCATCAGGAATGATCTCCCATCTTTAAAGGTAATTCAAGTTTCCTATATGAAGCAATTTGGGCAGTCTGGTACAAATAAGGCTGTTATTTCCAGCTTTACTTTCTGAGTTCAGACTCTAAAATACATCACACCACCACCAATTCCAGCCTGCTAGAGGACAGATCCAGTGGCAGATGTGTACCTGGAAGAGAAGGCTGCAAGGGAAGCAGCATCAGTACAGCTATTTGAAACACTCCAACACCTTTGTCAGAGTTGCAAATACACACCATGCAGGTTTATACCCAATTAAATATCCATTTCCAGAGCAGGTGTCCTGTAGAAATCGATGTTTGCAAAGGAGACCTGCAGATTTACTTCCACTTGGCAGCATCAAGCCTCCTCTGGACACACTTGCTCCTCCACAGAGCTGTGCTAGGAGAGATTTCAATTACCTGGCTTCCTGCAAACATCAGATAACAGTCTCCTGCTGCCTGTGTTTTACTTGCTTGGCCTCTTTTGCCACGTGAGCTCCACCTAAGCCTGCCGTGGTGGTGCCTGGATGTACAGGGCATGAAATAACCCTGTCCAGAGCCTTTCAGCAGGGTCTTTATCTTGAGGCATAAACTCCTTCCCAGGAGTTTTCTCCCCCTGATTTTAGGGTGAAAAAAAAAAAAAAAAAGTAAGGATCCACTAAAAAGCCACCAAAAAAAAAGCAACGTAACTCCAGCAGACAGTGTGCAGAAGATGAAAGTTTTACAAATCGTGTTTTTTCATGCTGAAATCCTTACAACTAGTAACTGTTTGGGAGCTGTTTGGTGAACATCATCAGAAGGACCATGCCTAACAAAGCCTAACAATTCTTTCTAGAATGATTTTAATCCACTGTCATAGGAACAGCATGTACAACACTTCCTCTGACAGTAAGCTGGCACAGGGAAAAACTCTTCATTATGCTTAATTTGAACATGAAACAACACAGCACACAGTAAATCCTGCTGCCACCTCTGGACTGTCAGCTCTTTTCCACTGCTCTCTGTTCTCTTCCTGTATTGAAAACAAAAAGTATGTTTTGGAAGAGAGAAAAATGATTGCAAAGTCACACAGGTTTAGCTCCAGAAGCCTCTTCCAGCTCAGCTTCTAAAATCCCATGCAGATTGCATCCGATTTCACATTCAGACTGACTCTTCCTCTCTCAAATCAGGCAAAAATCAGACCTTGCACTGCATCAGGCAATTAATTTCTGTCCTCTCACACCCAGGAAGCTTTGCTTTGCTAATTAAAATCCTGACTAGCCCAAGGAAAGCACCAGGGCAG